GAAGATTTGTTAGCCAGATTTCAAAAGCTAAACACCTCGGGAAGTTCACAACAAAATAGTTCAAACATGGCATTGACCAGTGAACAATTTAAATCCATTATAGAAGGCGCAGTTGCGAGCGCACTCGCCGCGCAGGAAAAAAGCTTTGTACAAAAATTACAAGAAGTTCAGAAGCGATTAGGTGGTGTAAATATCGGCAACCAGAAGTAGAAACGTATAGGGATGCCGAAATTATAACAGGTATCGCATGCTGCGAAACGTTAGATATTATGAAGTCCCTGCCGGACTTTGAGGGAAAGAATGAGACATACGTTTCTTGGAGGAAAGCGGCGCATACCGCCTATAAAGTATTTGAGAAATATGATGGTAGTTCCAAACACTACCAATCTTTAGGCATTCTCCGAAACAAAATAAAAGGCTCGGCCGATATGGTTCTTTCGTCATTCGACACGCCTTTAAATTCTAAAGCTATTATTAACAGGCTTGACTTTACATACGCGGACAAACGACCGATATATTTAATATAACAGGAGATGTCAACACTCCGTCAAGGAAACATGACACTTCTGCAGACGAAGTGGAGAAAAAACTAACTCTGCTTATAAACAAGACAATTATGACCTACGACAACACCGTAGCTGCCTCACTGAACGAAAAATACAGAGCGGATGCACTACGAGTATTTATTTCGGGCACAAGAAAATCGCTTAGCGACGTTCTTTTTTCGTCAAGACCAACCGATCTTCCTTCCGCTTTAGCATTAGCGCAGGAAGTAGACGCTAATCACGAGCGATACATCTTCGCAAGTAGTTTCGCACGTAGCACGGAGGAAAAACACCAAAAAGGCTAAACAAAGAAATGCATCGACAGACGCTAAGTTTAACCCAAATGGTAAAAATCCTCATTTTAATAAAATACCACAAAGTCAGCCCCCCAGACAGGAACCGACCCAACCAATGGACGTCGATCCTTCATTATCCCGTTTTAGACAACCAACCCTAAACCAACGATGTAGTAGAATACGATGAAATACATTTTTTAAGGCATAACTCCCTGCTCCCATTTATAAAAAGAGATATCGCAGGGAGAAAAATAAAACTTTTAATTGACACAGGGGCTTCCAAAAATTACATCAAACCTATTAAAAATTAAAAAACGTTGTTTTCGTAAATAAACCATTTTCTATAAAATCAAACCATGGTCATAATAAAATAAATAAAAAATGTATATTGCACATTTTTAATACAAATACAACAATTTTCAATTTTGTATTCAATTTTCAATTTTATATTGAACAACATTTTTCTTGCTTGGAATTGCTGCAGTTAGCACGATTATGTTTGGTGAAAAAACTCGACATCTCTTATATTTTTCGGATAGAGAAACACTTATACAGAGAGTATGCGATGTGGTCAAAAAAGACGTAGTCAATACAATTTTATGCGAACTACCAGTACTGGCATTTATCCAACATAAATTAATAGAAACTTTCCCAACAACCACATTCCGTTACACGAACCGTATGGTGACTGACATCCTAGACAAAAACGAACAAAAAGAAATTACGGTGTCGGAACATAACAGGGCTCATAGAGCCGCTCAGGAAAACGTAAAACAGATTCTGCAAGACTATTTTTTTCCAAAAATGACTCATATGGCAAATGAGGTGGTCGCAAATTGTAAAATATGCCAGAAGGCAAAATACGATAGACACCCTCAGAAACAATTTCTCGGAGAAACACCCATTCCCTCATACACAGGCGAAATCCTACACATTGACATACTTTCGATAGACAAAAAATACTTTTTAACTTGCATAGGCAAATTCTCAAAATTTTCAATTGTTCAACCTATTGCTTCCAGAACCGTTGAAGACGTGCAAACCGCGATTTTACAACTTATTAATTTCTACCGGCGACCGAAAACAATATATTGCGATGATAAGCCCTCTATAAAATCTGAAACAATTAGGTCTTTTTTAAGCAACCGGTTTAACGTGCAAATCGTTAATGCACAGCCGCTTCACAGTACATCGAACGGACAAGTGAAAAGATTCCACAGTACACTAACAGAAATTGCACGGTGTTTAAAAATCGAAAGAGGTATTGAGGACACGGTTGAATTAATACTACTCGCGTCTATAGAATACAACAGAAGCATTCACTCTGTAACAAATAAACGACCCATCGACATAATTCACTCATCAACTATAAAGCTTAACGCAGAAATTAGAGATAAAGTCTCAAATGCACAGAACATCCAACTACAAAGATTAAATAAAACTAGACAAGACAGAAATTTACAAGTAGGAGACAAAGTTCTCGTAAAATCAAATAAGAGGTTGGGAAACAAACTATCAAATTTGTACACCAAGGAAACCATTGAAGCAGACTTGGGGACCATAGTCTTAATAAAAGGGAGGGTGGTCCATAAGGAAATTTGAGGTAATTAAAATAAAGTTTATTTTTTCTGTTCTTTTACTTTCAAGATCCTAGGATTTGGACGGTACTTTTTTTCGCCGTATCAATAACGGCCAAAATCACCGATTACACGGCCTCAAACTACATACCATACATACCATACTTCGAGAAAATTAAATTCACACAGAAAGAACTCATAGAATCAGAAAATAGTCAGATAAACATTAACACAAAGACCCAGGAACAAATTAATATCGTAACAAACACAGTAAACGTTTTGGTAAAAAAATGCTAAAGTAAAACAGATAAATACAGAAAATTTGTATGAAAAATTGCTATCAAGAATTAGAATAATTATTTTCGAGCTCGAAGCATTAATGTTGTCAGTTACACTTGCGAATATTGGATTAATCAACCCTGCAGTTTTAGATTCAAATGATTTACAAACTGATCTAATGGAAGTTGCTCAAATTAAAGTTTTATTAAATAATAATTTTTTGCTTTTTATATTAAAGTATCCTAAGCCGTACGTAGCTTGTAAGAAGATAATCTTGCACCCCGTTGAAAACAACGGCACTATTCTTAATTTTGCTGAAGATAATACTATAGCTGACTGTGAGAAATGCCCTACACAACCTGTGCCCAGCAACTTCACTCAGGGGGCAACGCACACTGCGACTCGCACCAGCCACCTTGAACCCCAAACAATCATCGATGATGGTGTCATCATTCTCAATGACGGTACAGCTACGATCAATGGACAACTGGTAACCGGAAGGTTCCTCGTTACATTCGACGACGGGGTAAATATAAATAACACCATATACCAAAACCTGAAGAGCTACGTTAAAAAATCACCAGCCCCCGCTGCATCAACAGTCCTTAACATTACGGACCATCAAGAAATACTGAGCTTACCATACTTACAAAAATTAAATATGGAAAACCTACGTTACATTGGGAAAATAGAAAAGCCACTGGAAACACGGCCTATAATATCTGGAGTGGCCGCGATCGCCTTTTTGGTCATCTGCTTTACTATTTACAAGCTCTATCAGAAAGTTATCATTGACAGCTTCGAGAAGTCCAAGAACGTCCTTCATTTAAGTAAGGGAGGAGTTAACAAAACGGTCTCCTAGCAAAACGGAAGTTTCTAGGCTGATAATGCTTCACAGCATAAAATAATGCAAGGCTAGCGATACCTGCGGACGTTGCACAACGACGTTGCCGAAATCCCGGGCTTCGGTCAGCGCAATCAGCGAGCAATGCACTCCGATGCAACGGCGGCTACCCAACACCATGCATGGGCAGCCGAGTCAGCACTTTTACGGCATAGGGCTAGCTTCCGTTATAAGAATTAATGTACTTAGCAGTTATTTTGAAAATTTTTTGAAATTTTTATTTTTGAATTTTGGAAATAGACGGTGACGGTCAACCTCACAATTACAAAGTCTTCTCATTCGCGAAATAAAATCGCGTCTTAAAAGAATCCTAACAAGAAAGCAAAGCTAACCTCGGGCGGAGCCGAAGTTGATATACCCTTGCAGTTAAAACCGGATATACATCGCAAACATCGGATATAGTTGGCCGATCCTTATGATTACATCATAATAAAACCAATTAATTAAAATAAAAAATCTAAAAAAAAGTTCCAAGCTTCTATCTTCAAAAATACGAAAGTTGATATTTCTACTAAATACCATTTCCGATCGTTCAGTTACATAGCACTGTAGGATATCGGCCGATCCTAATGAAATTTCGTAGGTCGGATTAACTGACCAAAGATATAATCTGTACAAAGTTCCACTTTCTATCTTCAAAAACACGAAAGTTGGGTCATTTCCGATCGTTCAGTTATATGGTAGCTATAAGATATAGTCGGACGATTCTTATGAAATTTGGCATGTCGTAATGTGTTGCCAAAAATAGCTTTCATGTCAAATTTGAACTCTCTAACTCAAAAAACACCAAAGTTATACCATTTCCGATCAATCAGTTATATGGCAGCTATAGGATATAGTCGGCCGATCCCGGCCGTTCCGACTTATATACTGCGTGCAAAGGAAAAAAGGGTGTGTGCAAAGTTTCAAGTCGATAGCTTTAAAACTGAGAGACTACTTTGCGTAGAAACAGACAGACGGTCAGACGGACATGCTCATATCAACTCAGGAGGTGATCCTGATCAAGAATATATATACTTTATAGGGTCGGAGATGTCTCCTTCACTGCGTTGCCCACTTTTGGACAAAATTATAATACCCTCTGCAAGGGTATAAAAAGGACTCTTTGTTAATTTATACACTATGGTGTTGGAAAGGATTCCTTCTCTATGTTACATTCACTACACTCTAGTATACCCCCATAATGTACCTCTACGAGTACCATGTATAAAAATACGAATACCATTCTTATACTTATATTCATTCTTATATTCTTATACTCTACAAGTACAATGGGTTTTTTATAGCACCCACAATTTTTTTAATTTTATCACAAACGCTCCAACATGTTTGAAACCATTTTTTCAAAAAACGAATTTTTAATGTTTAAATATAATAATATTCATATTCCTTCCCTTACCTGTGTAGAAAGGGGAGACTGATTGTTCCTGTACTGTGTTGGCGCAATTTTTCATATCATGCAAACTTATAGGCATTAACTGTGTCAATGAATGATTTCCTACATCGGTTATAATCATTAAACAAAAAAAAAAACCAATAAATAAAACAGAAACAGTAATTAAAAACTTATAAAAGTCAAAAATAAAAATGAATATAGATAATTCTAAAGTACAAGTATCGACTTACCCAGTGATTGACCGATGGCTTGGGTATAGAGTGAGCCTTGTGCTTGAGAAATGGTTGCAACATTATCGTACAAAATTGATGTATCATTGGCAGGTAGCGTCGTGTTAGATCCTGCTAACGTACTTGCTGAATATCCGTTAGATGCTTCATAGTATGACACTGCGCTATTTGCACTTCCTGCTAAATTTCCCAACTCCGTGAGAAACTTATGTTCATCTTTAATACACCATTTACCTGACCATATCTTTAAAAAATGTTTATACATTATATACATTATTCAAACACTTTTATAAGCTAATATCTAATGATTTTAGTTACTATTAGGAAATAGTAATTTAAGAAAGTTTTATTTATCAGAGTTATTAAAAAGACTAAAGCATTACATAAAAAAAATCCTGTTGAATGACAATTTAACAATACCTTTGTAAATAAACTAAAAAACCCAATTTTACTTATTCTCAAGGTAACATATGTTAATTTTCTCCAGGTGCCGAATAAGGATATTTTTTATCCGGTACTTGTAGAATAGAGAACAAGAGAACAAGACAAAAAAAAAAATGACAAAAAAAAAGTTTAAGATATTTTTGACCACTTTTTCAGGCTAAAACTAATCACTCAGAAACGAAGAAAGATATTTAAATTCGGGTTTTTTATGGTGCTATTTAAGACCAATAGTCACCTTTTGAAAAAGTGGGCACGACATTATAAAAATAAAAAAAAACCAATTAAATTTTCTAAAATTAATTATTTTAAATGTATATGCATATATATGCATATATGTATATATATACTTATATACAAGGTATATACTTTAATTATGTTATTAGCTCAAAATTAAAAAAATTAACTTATTTAAATATTAAATAATTAAATCTGCTTTATTTAAAGAAACACACATTACAAACAGGCATTACATCTTATGGATGGACCCTGTTCGACTCACTTTGTATCCCTTTTCAAAATGTAGGGTATACACAAAAAAATTAGTTTGTAAGGTTATAAGTCCCGACATATAAGTGATTTCATTATTTGATAAAATTAATTTAACCCTTTCAAAAATTGTTTGTAATTTTCCACTTTAATGGAGCAGTATCATATCTGAATATTTTGCTATAGGAACGGCAGTCTTCGACAGCCGATAAAATTAAAAAGGTTTCATCCATTAAAAATTTGTTGAACATTGTCATTGAAAGTCATTAAAGAATATAGAATAGAATATAGAGATTTTTATTATTTTTATTTAATTTTTTTATTTATTTTAATTGTCTATATTGCAACATATTATTTTTGGCGAGAAAAAGTGGTCTTATTTTCTATACAAATTTCCACACATTAAAAAAAAAGATGAAAAGACAGCTATAGCCAATCATAAACTCAGCCAAGGAAAATTTTTTTCATACTTTTTTCATACTTCTTGGGAAAAAAAAGCTCAAGCAGATCAGTAGGGAACAAGAATAAAAAGTCTAAAACTGCTCTTATAGTCTTCGAGATCCACGTGCTTCAAATTTGAACACGTTTGTATGGAAAATGGTATGTTCGAGTACATGGGTACACATGGGTTTTTCATATAAAAATTAACTATAAGAAAAATTCGTTGGATAAAAGTATTTCAAACAAGAAAGGAAAGCTAACTTCGGGCAGAGCCGAAGTTGATATACCCTTGCAGTTAAAACCGAGTGTATATCGCAAACATCGGATACAGTTGGCCGATCCTTATGAGAATATCATAATAAAACCAATTAACTAAAATAAAAAATCTAAAAAAAAGTCCCAAGCTTCTATCTTCAAATATGCGAAAGTTGATATTTCTACCAAATACTATTTCCGACAGTTCAGTCGGCCGATCCTAATAAAATTTGGTAGGTTAGATGAACGGACCAAAAATATAATCTGTACTAAATTCCAGCTTTCTATCTTCTAAATCACGAAAGTTGGGTCATTTCCGATCGTTCAGTTATATGGCAGCTATAGGATATAGTCGGCCGATCCTTATGAAATCTGGCATGTCGTATTATGTTGCCAAAAATAGCTCTCATGTCAAATTTCTTACTCTCTTACTCTAAAAACACCAAAGTTATACCATTTCCGATCATTCAGTTGGCAGCTATAGGATATAGTCGGCCGATCCCGGCCGTTCCGACTTATATATACTGCGTGCAAAGGAAAGAAGGGTGTGTGAAAAGTTTCAAGACGATAGCTTTAAAACTGAGAGACTAGTTCGCGTAGAAACAGACAGACAGACAGACGGACAGACGGACATGCTCATATCAACTCCGGAGGTGATTCTGATCAAGAATATATATACTTTATAGGGTCGGAGGTGTCTCCTTCACTGCGTTGCACACTTTTGGACAAAATTATAATACCCTCTGCAAAGGTATAAAAACTATCCTGTACTGGCGCTAAAGAAATACTGTACTTGGACGGGAGGGGGTGTGTGAAAAATTTTGAAATAAACTTGAACTGCCTGGGTGTTATAGGAGTATCCATGCCTAATGCTATAGCTGTATTTTTTATAGCCTCTGAGATCCACACGTTCCTATGGGCAGATCCGTTCATACGGATGGCTTATCGACTCGGCTTTTGATGCTGATCAAGAATATATTTTTACGGGGTCGGAGATGATTCTTTCTTTACGTAAAATAAATTCACAAGAGAACAATATACCCTTGTACTCTACGAGTTAGGGGATAAAAAAAAGTATGATGTCCCATCTATGTGTTGTGTTATATTTGGTACAAAAGTTTTAAGTAAAAATTACACAGAAATTAAATTTTTCGCCAAATGACCCGACCCCTACCACAATACTCAAGGATTGCTCCAACATCGAAAATTACACAACTTTCGTGTTTTTAAAGATAGAAGTTTGGGACTTTTTTTTTTAGATTTTTTGTTATATTGATTTGGTTTCATTATGATATTCTCATAAGGATCGGCCAACTATATCCGATGTTTGTGATAGGGTAGCACAGTGGATAGGGTAGGATAGGCAGATCTAGGGGGGGCGAAAGGAGCAAGCGCCCCGGGCGCCAAATCTAAGAGGCGCTAAATCGAGTCTGACTAGCAATATATGTTTCGAGAATTCATATTTTTCCACGGCGCTGCGCATGTAACGCTACCTATAGAATACAAGTGTAAGTGTTTTATGATGTGATCAAAAGAAAAAGGGACGCTCGAAACGTCATAATAAACTTTCTTACTTAGAGAGAGAGAGAGCGAGCAGTATACGTGTTAGGTTATGAGCGCGTTTGTTTACATACATTCCAATCAAGGCAGTGTTTTTCTATTGCAACATTTAATCAAGGTACTTTTGCTTCAATGTTACTTATCAAATATTATTCACTGAACCTTCCATTTCTTGATGTTCTAAAAATATATTTATAATATTTCAAATTAGGCGTGGAAAACAAAAAAAACGACGCTTTTTAGTTGAAATTTTGGACAGCCTTTCAATCAAAGTTAATACTCGTTTTGCTCGTTTTTACTCGTTTGCTAAAGGAGACATTTCCGACTCTATAAAGTATATATATTCTTAATCAGGATCACCTCCTGAGTTTATATAAGCTAGGCTTCTGTACGTCTGTCTGTCTATCTGTTTCTACGCAATCTAGTCTCTCAGTTTCAAAAATATCGATTTGAAACTTCGCACACATTCTTCTGTTTTTTGCACGCAATTTATAAGTCGGAACGGCCGAGATCGGCCGACTATACCCTATAGCTGCCATATAACACATTGATCGGAAATGCTTTAACTCGGGTTTTTGAAAATAGAAAGTTGCAAATTCGAACAGATTCGATTCCAAATTTCATAACAATCGCCCGACTTATATATATAGTATATATAAGTACTATATACCATATATAGTATTATAAGTATATATATACGGATCGGCCGACTATATCTTATAGCTGCCATATAACTGAACAATCGGAAATGACCCAACTTTCGTGTTCTTAAAGATAGAAAGCTGGAACTTGGTACAGATTATATTTTTGGTCAGTTGATCCGACCTACCAAATTTCATTACGATCGGCCGACTATATCTTATAGCTGCCATATAACTGAACGATCGGAAATGGTTTTTGGTAGAAATACCAACTTTAGTATGTTTGTATATAAAAGTTTGGGACTCTTTTTAAATTTTGTATTGTGATAAATTGGATTATATATTCATATTCCCATAAGGATCGGCCAACTCGGCTTTCCTTTCTTGTTTTAGATTTTGTACTGTAATAAATTGGTTATATTATGATATTCTCATAAGGATCGGCCAACTATATCCGATGTTTGCGAAATATATCCGGTTTTAACAGCAAGGGTATATCAACATCGGTTCTGCCCGATGTTAGCATTCATTTTTTGTTTTATACTTACATTAGGATAAACTTGGTCGTTGTTATATTCCGTTCGTTGTCTTTTTAGCTCATCATCTGAGAAAGAATTTGTGTTCCGATTCTCATCTAAAAAAAAATTAGGGGAAAATCATTAAACTTAATTAAAAAATGTTACATTTGCATTGTCTTTCGTTAAAGCACGTGTCTTTTGAGTGTATTTAGTAATCATGGACATTATACCATAATGTGTTGATAAAGTCTTGCTTGCACGAAAAAGTCAATCAACCCTTAGATAAATTAAATTTTTATTTCCGCTACTCGCAGAGTATAAGGGTAAATTGTATTCAAGTATATGTATGAAGCATGGAGCAGGAAAAATCGCTGATAACATAAAGGATGTACATACATACATCATCCATCCTTCCATCCATCAGAGACTAAGATATATAAGACGGAGCTATGAGATATTGCATTTAGACTCGTATAGTCCGATGCCCCACAAAAATGACACATTACTAAAGCGCCAATGCAGGAAGGCATTTTGAAAAAATGTAGGGCTGTATTTAGGGCTGTATAACATTTATAACATTTTTATATCGGCCAACTATATCCGATGTTTGCGATATATATCCGGTTTTAACTGCAAGGGTATATAAACTTCGGCTCTGCCCGAAGTTAGCTTTCCTTTCTTGTTAGGGCTGTATTTATTCGGGGAACCACAGAAAACATTAGTAATTTGGGTAAATGGGTCGCTCCAAGCCACTGAAAAATTTTCACCTTGCCACAGGATTCCAAATGGTTTAGTCTACACAAATACTCTTAGGAGTTTTTTGTTGATTGAATGGATTTGTAAAGAAGCTACACAAATTTATATATTGATTTCATACCAGATCGTTTCAGTTTTATACCCTTGCAGAGGGTATTATAATTTGTCCAAAAGTGTGCAACGCAGTGAAGGAGATATCTCCGACCCTATAAAGTATATATATTCTTTATCAGGATCACCTCCTGAGTTGATATAAGCATGTCCGTCTGTCTGTTTCTACGCCAACTAGTCTCTCAGTTTTAAAGCTATCAACTTGAAACTTTGCACACACCCTTCTTTCCTTTGCACAAAGTATATAAATTGGAACGAGCTGGATCGGTCGACTATGTCCTATAGCTGCCATATAACTGATTGATCGGAAATGGTATAACTTTGGTGTTTTTAGAGTTAGAGATTTCAAATTTGACATGAAAGCTATCTTTGGCAAAACATTACGACGTGCCAAATTTCATAAGGATCAGCCGACTATATCCTATAGCTGCCATATAACTGAAGGATCGGAATTGACCCAACTTTTGTGTTTTTGAAGATAGAAAGCTGGAACTTGGTACAGATTCTAGTTTTGGTCAGTTCATCTAACCTACCAAATTTCATTAGGATGAAAGCCCGAAGTTAGCTTTCCTTTCTTGTTTGATTACAAATGATCCAGCACCGAGTTATAAGGGGCACCGCAATTCAACTTTTTTTGGCGATACGTCCGGACAATTGCTACCATTGCCATATTTTCAAATATTTTTTTGTAAAAATTTGATAAAACATTCTTAAATTGAATGCATAATATCTGAAGAATATTGTGTCAAAATTTCAAGTCAATTGAAGCAAAGTTGATGAAGTTATTAGTTATTGACAAAGTTACTTAAAACCGTTTTACACTGGATTTTTTTGTGGGTCATTTCCGATCGTTCAGTTATATGGCAGCTATAGAATATAGTTGGCCGATCCTTATGAAATTTTGCATGTCGTAATGTTTTGCCAAAAATAGCTCTCGTGTCAACTCTTGAACTCTCTAACTCTAAAAACACCAAAGTTATACCATTTTCGATCAATCAGTTATATGGCAGCTATAGGATATAGTCGGCCGATCCCGGTCATTCCGACTTATATACTGCGTGCAAAGGAAAGAAGGGTGTGTGCAAAGTTTCAAGACGATAGCTTTAAAACTGAGAGACTAGTTTGCGTAGAAACAGACAGACGGACAGACAGACGGATAGACGGACAGACGGACATGCTCATATCAACTCAGGAGGTGATCCTGATCAAGAATATATATACTTTATAGGGTCGGAGATGTCTCCTTTACTGCGTTGCACACTTTTGACCAAAATTATAATACCCTCTGCAAGGGTATAAAAAGATTGAATCTGAATAGCATCGCGTTGCAAATTTGGTTCGATATTTTGTATGGAGCAGTAGGATATAGTCGGTCGATATATTCAATTTTTCTTTGCTCTAACTTTGAAGAACATTTCATAACGATATAACAACTAAAGGTATTTTTGGCCGCGTCTCCATAAAGTCCCAAGTACTGTGTGGTGCTTTCTGTATAGGTAATTTTACACCTTCGCCCAAGTTCTCGCAAAAATTAATATCGCAGAAACGATAAAAGATTACTGAGGTCGGCAGTACACAATTTGACAACCGCGTGCCTGAGAGTGCGTGTTGTTCAAGCATTGAACCTCTGCAGCCTAACACAAATACATAAGTGGTGCGCTTATCAAACTTAAGAAAGGCTCCCATAGCAGGTACGCGTGGAGCGCGTTGATAAAGAGTTTTAAATAGAGAGATAAGTAGTTTTGTAAGAGAATTGTACAAAATAAATACAGTTTCCAAAAGGAACCCATTGGAGTAACACACATTTATTTGGAAAATACTCTATATAGAGCCGAAGAATCAAAAATTTTCTGAATACGTTTCTGAGTTTCCCTACATTATTAAAAGTTTATTCATTCCTTTGGTCCGTCCGATATTAGAGTATGGTTCATGTGTCTAGAGTCACCAAAATGGAGTACATCAGGACCGCATAGAACCGGTACAAAAGAATTTCTTAAAATTTTCACTTTGAGGATTTAACTGGGATGCACATCTTCATCTTCCCTCTTACGGTAGCAGACTCTAACTAATAAACTTACCAACATTAACTTATCGTAGACAATGCTGAGTAGTGATGTAGATAGCCATTATTTATTTACACGATTTCATTTCAATATTCCTAATAGAAGTACTATAAACTTTAGACCTCTACTTCTTAGTTATTGCAGTTCGATGTTTCTCGCTTGTTTCTCGAGGGCTACTCTGTCGTCAGTTCATCTAACCTACCAAATTTCATTAGGATGAAAGCCCGAAGTTAGCTTTCCTTTCTTGTTTGATTACAAATGATCCAGCACCGAGTTATAAGGGGCACCGCAATTCAACTTTTTTTGGCGATACGTCCGGACAATTGCTACCATTGCCATATTTTCAAATATTTTTTTGTAAAAATTTGATAAAACATTCTTAAATTGAATGCATAATATCTGAAGAATATTGTGTCAAAATTTCAAGTCAATTGAAGCAAAGTTGATGAAGTTATTAGTTATTGACAAAGTTACTTAAAACCGTTTTACACTAAATTTTTTTGTGGGTCATTTCCGATCGTTCAGTTATATGGCAGCTATAGAATATAGTTGGCCGATCCTTATGAAATTTTGCATGTCGTAATGTTTTGCCAAAAATAGCTCTCGTGTCAACTCTTGAACTCTCTAACTCTAAAAACACCAAAGTTATACCATTTTCGATCAATCAGTTATATGGCAGCTATAGGATATAGTCGGCCGATCCCGGTCATTCCGACTTATATACTGCGTGCAAAGGAAAGAAGGGTGTGTGCAAAGTTTCAAGACGATAGCTTTAAAACTGAGAGACTAGTTTGCGTAGAAACAGACAGACGGACAGACAGACGGATAGACGGACAGACGGACATGCTCATATCAACTCAGGAGGTGATCCTGATCAAGAATATATATACTTTATAGGGTCGGAGATGTCTCCTTTACTGCGTTGCACACTTTTGACCAAAATTATAATACCCTCTGCAAGGGTATAAAAAGATTGAATCTGAATAGCATCGCGTTGCAAATTTGGTTCGATATTTTGTATGGAGCAGTAGGATATAGTCGGTCGATATATTCAATTTTTCTTTGCTCTAACTTTGAAGAACATTTCATAACGATATAACAACTAAAGGTATTTTTGGCCGCGTCTCCATAAAGTCCCAAGTACTGTGTGGTGCTTTCTGTATAGGTAATTTTACACCTTCGCCCAAGTTCTCGCAAAAATTAATATCGCAGAAACGATAAAAGATTACTGAGGTCGGCAGTACACAATTTGACAACCGCGTGCCTGAGCGTGCGTGTTGTTCAAGCATTGAACCTCTGCAGCCTAACACAAATACATAAGTGGTGCGCTTATCAAACTTAAGAAAGGCTCCCATAGCAGGTACGCGTGGAGCGCGTTGATAAAGAGTTTTAAATAGAGAGATAAGTAGTTTTGTAAGAGAATTGTACAAAATAAATACAGTTTCCAAAAGGAACCCATTGGAGTAACACACATTTATTTGGAAAATACTCTATATAGAGCCGAAGAATCAAAAATTTTCTGAATACGTTTCTGAGTTTCCCTACATTATTAAAAGTTTATTCATTCCTTTGGTCCGTCCGATATTAGAGTATGGTTCATGTGTCTAGAGTCACCAAAATGGAGTACATCAGGACCGCATAGAACCGGTACAAAAGAATTTCTTAAAATTTTCACTTTGAGGATTTAACTGGGATGCACATCTTCATCTTCCCTCTTACGGTAGCAGACTCTAACTAATAAACTTACCAACATTAACTTATCATAGACAATGCTGAGTAGTGATGTAGATAGCCATTATTTATTTACACGATTTCATTTCAATATTCCTAATAGAAGTACTATAAACTTTAGACCTCTACTTCTTAGTTATTGCAGTTCGATGTTTCTCGCTTGTTTCTCGAGGGCTACTCTGTCGTCTTGGCTTCTGAGCTTTAAGATTAATGCATTTTAATCCAAACTTATAAAAGACCGCAAAAAAAAAAACAAAAGTCTCTTCTCTTTGTAACTTTAAAAAAAAAAAAAAAACATCAACAAAAAAATATGAGTTAAGTCTATTAAATATGTGAGCTTACTTTGAAACCTATAGAGAATCGAAATATACCAGAAAAGGTAATAGAGATGAGATTTTCATTAGCCTCACACTGAACAGATTTAAAACAATGATTATTCTTTTTGGCCAGAAAAAGTGGTAACATTTTTTGTCGCTTGCATGGGTATATGTTTAAATTTATGTGTGTGAGTGTACAGATTAAATTCTTAAGCAATAAGTACATCAAATTGATCACATACGAAACAAGAAAGGAAAGCTAACTTCGGGCAGAGCCGAAGTTTATATACCCTTGCAGTTAAACCGGATATATATCGCAAACATCGGATATAGTTGGCCGATCCTTATGGGAATATGAATATATAATCCAATTTATTACAATACAAAATCTAAAAAAAGTCTCAAGCATCTATCTTCAAAAGTACCAAAGTTGGTATTTCTACCAAAAACCATTTCCGATCGTTCAGTTATATGGCTGCTATAAGATATAGTCGGTCGATCCTAATGTAATTTGGTAGATCGGATCAACTGACCAAATATATAATCTGTACCAATTTCCAGCTTTCTATCTTCAAAAACACGAAAGTTGGGTCATTTCCGATCGTTCAGTTATATGGCAGCTATAGGATATAGTCGGCCGATCCAAGCCGTTCCGACTTATATACTGCGTGCAAAGGAAAGAAGGGTATGTGCAAAGTTTCAAGACGATAACTGAGAGACTAGTTTGCGTAGAAACAGACAGACGGACAGACGGACAGACAGACGGACAGACGGACAGACGGACATGCTCATATCAACTCAGGAGGTGATCCTGATCAAGAATATATATACTTTATAGGGTCGGAGATGTCTCCTTCATTGCGTTGCAGACTTTTGACCAAAATTATAATACCCTCTGCAAGGGTATAAAAAATATTAATTTCTTTCGTTAAATGTTGTTACTACCGTCTAAGCTTTAAAATTTAAAGTATTAATTCTAAAAATATTTTGTTGCATACTTTTCGTATTTTGTAACAAACAACTAAAACAATCCGTTAGGGAAGCAGAATAAGAAATATATAGCTCGTCTAAATAATGACCCGATTCGAATGAATTCGAATAGGTCGCAGATTATACCGTTTCCCTGTTACATACATAGATATGATTAAAATATACCCATATACTCCACGAGTATTCGGGGTATACTTAAAAGAAGTTCGGAGACACATTTAGCAACCCCAAAAGATTCTATCTTAAGCCGAAGATGTGGTAGAAAATATTTATTTACCCGTACTTAAGTTGGGTTCTACGAATAAATATTTTAAGTCTGTATTCAATGGGCTATGCAAATCATCAAGGTGAAAATTAACAAGTATGTATTTATTTATTGGCGAACAATTATTTGCACTCGTAAATAAAAATTCTTTTCACTCGTCAACTTTGAAATTTTATCCTATATAAAAAGTCTAGCTTTGTATATAAACAGTTTTATACACATCTTTATTATTTACTTTTTATTTTACTCCAAGATAAAAAAAGAGAAGAACTAACTTGGGGCGCAAACGAAGTTGATGTACCCTTTCAGCTAACACCGGATACAACCGGATAATCGCAGATACAGCTGGCCGATCCTTATAGGAATTTCATTAAAAACCAACTTTTTAGAATAGAAAATTTTTTAAAAGTACCAAGCTCCTATCTTGAAAAAATATTTAAGTTTCGTCATTCTTAATTTGGTACCTACAGTTGTTCTATAGTTATATGTTTGTGAAAGAACGTTTTTGTTTCTTAATTTTAATTTGTTAGTTTGATTGAAAATTAAAAACATCATCCTCAATTTTTTTATATTTATGGGGAATAAAATAGTGAACTGAAAAAAACAGATGAGCAAACTAGACTCATTTTTACATTTGAAAAATGCTGTGAGAGTTTTATTTTTTCTAATATTTGTTTTAACATTTTAGTCAGATTGGTTAATGTTTCATCGACGCGTGTTCAAAATTGGAATGTTTTTAACATATTTTTGTCTTGACTCCAACCACTAACCATACAACATATAGACTGCTCACTTCATACAATGAAAATGGACGCAAAAATGTATTGCGACAGTCCCCTTTTTTTGTAACTTTTTAGGTTTGCTACCCTTAGAAAATTGGGATATTCATTATTGGGCTAGTGGTGAAAGAGTAATATTATTTGTTATATTAAATTTTTTAATATTTTAGCATATATTTTATATTTGCTTAAGAATACGATGAAGTGGTAGCAGTAGAATTTTTGTTATATATAATATATATTTTTACGAATTAATCAATTGGGGATTGTTCCTGCATACCCTACCGATGCATGATTTTAGGAGAGTCTTTTTTTTTTAATTCTCTCTAAAAATACTTGTTTTCGATTTTTTTTTCCAAATATAAATTATCTAAAAGGAAAGCTAACTTCGGGCGGAGCCGAAGTTTATATATCCTTGCAGTTAAAACCAGATATATATCGCAAACATTGTATATAGTTGTCCGATCCTTATGGGAATATCATAATAAAACCAATTTATTACAATAAAATATCTAACAAAAAAGTGTCATCTTCAAAAATACCAAAGTTGGTATTTCTACCAAATACCATTTCCGATCGTTCAGTTATATGGCAGCTATAAGATATTGTCGACCGATCGTTATGAAATTTGGTAGGTCGGATTAACTGACCAAAAATAGAAATTGTACTAGCTTCCAGCTCTACAAATTTCCAGATCCTTATGAAATTTGTCATGTCGTATTATTTTATCAAAAATAGCTCTCGTGTAAAAGAATAGCTCTCTACTGATGAAGAATATATAATTTATAGGGTCGGAGATGTCTCCTTCACTGCCTTGCACACTTTTGGACAAAATTATAATACCCTCTGCAAGGGTATAAAAAGAGCTTAACATTAAAAAGTTTTTATGTAATTTTAAAGAAAAACAAGAGGGAGTGAAAATTTTAAAACCAATTATATTGAAATAAGGAATAATTAAACAAAAGCATATTTTAATGTTAATACAAAACTTACCATGAACTTCTACTCTTTTGCGTTTGCAATTAGGATCCGTTGTTCCGTTGTTGTTGGCACTATTTATATTATTGTTGTTATGGGAAAGATGGCCATGTTGTAAGCCTAAAATACCATTTATGCTATATCCGGTCGTGCGTTGTTCGTGTACTGTATGATTAAGAGTTGCATTGCTATTACTGTTAAGTTGACCGCTTGCAACTTGGGTCGAATCAGCAGTAGATGTTGTCGGTGCAGGGACGAGAGGAATTGTATTTGACGATGAGTTTGTATTTGTCGAATTAGCACTTCCGTTGCTAGTAGCTGCACATGGAGCCTGAAGGTCTCCATTTGTACCTGTGCTCCCATCGAGACTTTCCGTGGTAACAGGTGCTCCACTAAGGCTTGAGGGTACATGATGCGTTTGATGGTGATGAACGTGCTTTGCTTTCTCTGCAGCCTTATTTCGTACAATACTAAAAACAAAACATCAATTTAAGATACAAGCTTGATATTTATTCCAAAATATGGTAGCTGCTAGATGCCAATTATTATTTTACTGGGAACAGACACGGCCTACATAAATCAATATATGGCACAATTTGATCAATTTATTTTCTTAGGTGTACCGCGGAAAATGTGTAATGGAACGTATGTTTGTTCTGGACTTTAGTTCAAGATAGACAAAATGGTGTGAAGCAAATAAAAATATGCGGGTAGATTTTTTGCTGTCAGCCTGTGTTATCCTATGCAGACTTATAAAGGTATGTACTATTTAAAGGTAATACAAAACATATACAAAACAAAACAATCTCTTTAGCACGTTACTTTTTCTTTTTGTCAGAGAAAAGTAATTCACTTCAAAAAGTAAACACCAGATTGTTTTGAACAAAAAGTGGTGCTTCAAAGGAGAGAAGATTTCATTTTGTACCCCCTTAAAAAATAATTGGTAAAAATTTTTCTACAAACATGTAGGTTAAAATGAAAAAGAATTTAATACTGAAGAGAACGTTGATTTACTTATATATTTTACATATGTTTCAGTACATTTTAGGAAAAGAAAGAAAAAACTCAAACATGAAAAGTGAAGTAACCGCAGATTTTTAATGTGACTATGAACATTCCGGCAGGCCCGGTGTTTACTTGTAAAGTGAAAAAAATTAACGGGTTTCCATGTTCAATTTCCTATTTTACAAAACGACAGCACTCGATCAAAAGAAAAAAAAAGAAAAAAACGAATTTTTCATAAATTGACCTGTAAATAAAATAAAAAAAAAACAAGAAAAGGATTGCTAACTTCTGGCGAGGCTGAAGTTTTTTTAGGCTGACCGTGGCAGTTAAAACCGGAAACATCGGATATAGTTTCTCGATCCTTATGAGAATATCATATTCTCCCAATCATCCCATCATACCAATTTATTACAATAAAGCTACAAAAAAGTGCCAAGCTTCTATCTTCAAAAATACCAAAGTTGGTATTTTTACCAAATACCATTTGCGATCGTTTAGTTATATGGCAGAAAGTAAAAAAAAACAAGAAAGGAAAGCTAACTTCGGGCGGAGCCGAAGTTTATATACCCTTGCAGTTAAAACCGGATATATATCGCAAACATCGGATATAGTTGGTATATAGTTAGTATATAGTTCTACCAAGTACCATTTCCGATCGTTCAGTTATATGGCAGCTATAGGATATAGTCGGCCGATCCTAATGAAATTTGGTAGGTTGGATCAACTGGCCAAAAATATAATCTGTACCAAGTTTCAGCTTTTTATCTTCAAAAACACGAAAGTTGGGTCATTTCCGATCGTTCAGTTATATGGCAGCTATAAGATATAGTCGGCCGATCCGGGCCGTTCCGACTTATATACTGCGTGCAAGGGAAAGAAGGGTGTGTGCAAAGTTTCAAGACGATAGCTTTAAAAGTGAGAGACTAGTTCGCGTAGAAACGGACAGACAGACAGACGGACAGACAGACGGACAGACGGACATGCTCATATCAACTCAGGAGGTGATCCTGATCAAGAATATATATACTTTATAGGGTCGGAGATGTCTCCTTCACTGCGTTGCACACTTTTGGACAAAATTATAATACCCTCTGCAAGGGTATAAAAACGGCAGTTCTGACTTGATACAATTGAAAAAGATTTAATTACTCTACGACATACAATAAGTTTCAAGATTGGACCTAGGGTGGATTCACATCATTTTAAAAACTACTTTCCTAGACAAATTTTGACTGATAAGATGATTTTTTTTTAACCTGTAACTACGAACACTCCACAACACCATAAAACATTTCATATATATGATTTTGAAAATGACTTTTTAGTTTTTCTTTTTCAATTAAAACGCCTTAAAGAAAACTTTGGTTGGGAATGTTGATGGTCCGTATTTCATAAATACAATGCGATTTCATCAATACAATGCGATTAAAATCACTTCGTTATTTTAACTTTTATAAATTAAATTTTTCCAAAAAGATGTCGGCTAAGCCTTAGAAAAAGAAAAAAGAAAAACAAGAAGGTTGATAGCTCTACTTATAGGATAATAATTCTTGGACAGGTGGATTCAAAATTGCTTACTAAAAACTAATTTTGTTAGTTCCTTTTTTTTTTTTTTTAAATAACAAGTTAAATTTTATTTTAGTCGCCGGAATCGTTCAGAACCATTTGAACATAACCGGGCGCTTAGAAGATGGGGTGAATATGGTACATATGGGATATGGGCCTAGACTATATACAATAATTTACAATTATTTACGTTAGTTTACAATATTATTGAACAACACGAGAAGACAGATCGGCCAGCCTGCTAGCCAGTGGATTTGGGTGACTCGTTAGCCTGTCCGAGTATCGTCGGCTGTGTTGGTTGGTGGTCGCCCACCGGGACAAGGCGTAGGTCGTTTTGGATGGCCTGGTTTGTCACATACCAAGGAAGTCCGGATGCCCGTCGAGCAGCACGTGCCTGCACTACCCTCAGCCTGTTTAGCTGGTGCTTGGATGCGGTGCCCCATACCTCGATCGCATACGTCCAGGTTGGCGTGAGGATTGCTTTGAGCAGCAAAACTTTCGTCAAAAGCTGGAGGCTTTTGGATTCAAGGAGCCAGACGAGCTTTTGGAGTTTGCGAACACACTTGGCTTTGATCGCCGTGATGTGGGTGTTTCATATGAGCCTGTGATCTAGGTGTACACCTAAGTATGTACGATGTCGACCACAAGTCTTAGGGAAAAAGTGACGCATGCCGACTTGCTGCAATTTATGGCAATGTTCCATTGCTTGGTCAAGCGTTCCATCGCATGCAGCCAGTCCTGAATAGCAGCCGAGGCTGACAGCTGAGACGAGTGGGATGCAAGCAGGGCCGTGTCGTCGGCGTAAGTAGCCAGAAGCATACGAGCGTCTGTGGTGGGCGACGGAACTGGCATATCACTCATGTACGTCGTGTATAGGAACGGACCAAGTACACTTCCTTGGGTCACTCCTGCGTGAATGTGTGCCAAGCTAGATCGTGAGTCGCTTACTGCTACAACGAAGGTTCAATCGGCAATGAAGGACCTCAGGATGGCGAAATAGGGCGTAAGGAGAAGTTCCTTGATTTTGTAAAGGAGGCCCTCGTGCCACACCTTATCAAAGGTTTGTTTTACGTCGAGGAAGACGCCTACAGTGTGCAGCTTATGCTCGAGTCCGTGGGTGATGTGGTTGACCAGGCGATGGACTTGTTCTGGGCAGCCATGTGATTTTCTGAAGCCGAACTGGTGTTGAGGAATATGGCCTTCTACTTGTGGTAGCTCCAACAGTCGGCTGAGTAGAATCCGCTCGAACACTTTCGAGAAAGTGCATAGCAGGCTGATTGGGCGGTAGGAGTCGATTCGAGATAGTGGCTTGCTTGGCTTTGGGGTCATGATGATCCAGGCTTGCTTCCACTGTCTTGGAAAATGTCCCAGGCTTAGCATGGCGTTGAAAATTTTCACCAGCGCTAGAACTCCTTTGGGTGGAAGAGCCTTGGGCGCTCGATTGTCGATGCCATCGGGTCCAGGAGTCTTTTAGTTCCTATTAGAGTATCTAAGTCCTTCCAACTCCTTTGGTTACCAATTTGTAGATCGAAATCTCCGTTTCGTCTTATATTTTAAAATGACAACCTATTTCCCATTTATTATCACCTGAATTATCCCTCAAATTTTGGAATGTCCATTAACTTAATTTATCCTTGGCAAAAACGCCATTTCATGAATTCGGCAACTCACGAAAGTTGACTATGATTTCAGCCTCAAAGCTTTAATTGGTGGTACAAATCAGGACAACGCCGTGCATAACCACCGGGCATTAAACTCCTGTCCAACAAAAGAATAGATCGGATTAGATAAAAAATTTGGTTATAAAGCGGCAGGGCCCAAAACCACTGTCTAAAATTTTGAGCGTCTGGATCTCGAAAATCTCGCGTCTGGACTTGAACTCATATCCGCGCTGATCAAGTTTGTGTCCGCGCGATTGTGAAAAGCTTTGCCAGGCCCACACCCGCCACCAAAACAAAATTCTGGTGTTAGCGCCAGTTCGACAATGTTTTTGGAAATTGTTTTGCCAAACTGTTCACAAAAATCAGATAAATTACTTAGATCAGCATTACTTAAATTAAGTAAAGTTACTTAATTAAAAATTGTAATTTAAAAATTTAAAATTTTTTTTGTCTTGAACATAAATTTAATAAATTTGGGCAAAAAACCATCAATTTTAAGACATCGAAGTCAGAAAGTTAAATTTTACGCTTCTTTATCAGTATTAGCTAGCTTAAGAAATATAAATAATAAACTTTCTATGACTTTAGTTCCAAACATACAAAAGAGTATGTTATACATAAAAACTTGTTTATCCAATGAGAATAAAATAAAAGAAAACGAGATGAATAAAGAGACTTACATATATGCTTCACATTAATAACCACGTTGGTTACATATAAATACTATTTACAAAAGATAAACTCATACGATAGACACGAATATCGGGTTATTTAATATTTTTACGAAGTAATTTAAGAGATCGATAAAATCCGGAATCGATCCTCCAACGTAGTAACGTGATTTATGTTTCAATTTTTGTTGAAAGTCGACAGACTTTCATACCCCTGCATCCAACGAGTACCGTTTATACCCGGTATGAAAGTCTGTCGTGTTTAAGGATGTAGTCTCATGTGTGAGGTTGAAAAAATCGATTTTTTTTTTCACACATTTCGATAGTATTGTTTATTAAGAATGTACTGTTAAAGTTTCAAATAAAAATATCAAATAATGACAGAGATACAGCCCATAATCGAGAGCGCGCCTACACCGAAAAGTATGAGTTTCTCGGTAGCGTCTATACTTTAAACGCGTTTTTCTCGGAACGACATTTTTGTGTGCGGCGCAGGTGATTCACAAAATTCTATTGTACCGATCTAGCTGAAATTTGGATATGTTGTTCTAAAAAGTAACACCTCTG